TGTTGAGCAGAGAGATGGAGAGAGAGATAGAGAGAGAGAGAGAGAGCGGGAGCTGAACCTGCCTGAGAGAGGAGAGAGAGAGAGAGAGAGAGAGTAGAGAGAGAGAAAGACTGCTGCGCAAGGCCGTACGCAGAGAAATTTTCTGTTTAGGCGGGCAAGTCATCCCCATGCCCTTGTCCTAACGTTTCCCACTGATTTAAGATGCCTTTGCACATTCCTAGTTTATTTCTAAAATGTACAAATTTGTCCCATTAAAGCATACTGCTGAAAATCCTCCTAGGTGGCGAGCGACGTCTGCAAAAGTCGCTAGGGGGCAACTGCCCCTGCTGCCCCCTCTGCCCTCTCTGCGTACGGCCCTGGCTGTGCGCTGTGCCTGTGAGATTGATGAGAGAGCAGCACGAGAGAAGATCGAGAGAGAGAAGAGACGACGAACGAGAGAGAGTGAGAGCAGGAGCGAAGAGGACGGATGAAAGGATCAGACGGGCAGCAGTGCCATATTATTTTATATTTTCGGCAATCAGGCAGAGACGTCCCGTTGCGCAAAGGCGTGTGTACGCGAAGTCACGCGATCACTGTGTGAGTGGCAGGTCTCCGGTATGGTGAGCCTGAGAGGCTAGGCGACCGCGTTCCGGGCGCGTAGCCACTGCCGCAAACATACTTACGCACCAGCAGATAGCGTGCCGATATTGATATGATACTGGCACTCAGGATATGACTACTAGGGACTTAAAAAAAACACCCTTAACCCTAACCCTTAACCCTAAAAAATAAATTTGTTTTAATTTAATTAAAGTGCCTAGTAGTCATATCATATCGAACCTTTCTGCCTTCTGCACATATTACAAGCTCACCGTACATCAGTGCTCATACATATAATAATAGTATTGTAGATATCAAGAATAAATAATTTAGGTATTCATATTTTCATATGGGTTTATAGTCGTAAATTGGCGGCTACAACTTACAAGTTGATGTAAAACTATTGGCGATACAATAGAAAACAAAACAAACAAAAACCTGACATCTGATAACTATCCGACGGTGGCACCGCGTTTTTCGAATCATTTCATCCAGTGAGTCGGATCATTGAATCTATAGCGATATTCAATATTGCAGTCTACAATGTTGGCGTCAATCTAATTATAGCAGCCGTGTTTTTACCACAGAAGAAGGCAAGTATTCTGCCGCTTGTTTAGGATTCGATAGTTTTATTATAATTTATTTATATCTAGCGTAATCCAGAGCCGAGCCTAGGGCGAGGAGCTCAACGCTGCGGGACTGTCTCGGATGTTCGCATGCCCGACCTCTCGCTAGTCACTATAGTCAAGGTTGAGAATATAGAGGGTCTCCGCGATTTTTCATCATTACGCCACAATGCAACGCCCGCCGGCCCTGACGGATACAGAACACCAGTTCACGCGCATGGTACAAGTACATTGAGCAGCGCACCTCTGCCATTTTATTCGCCTATAAGAAATGCCTTCACACGCGCCTTCCTGCGCGTGTTGTCAACTGCCGCAGCAAGCGTATCAGTAGAGGAGCACACAAGCTTTTTTTAGGCTGCTAGCCGCGTGATCACGAAACAAGTAATGACCGAAGAGATGGCGGACCACAGACGCCTTGGAGCATTTTCAATAAAAAGCAATGCTGACATAAACACGAATGTACTTTACTACCAATGTCTTTAACTGTTTCTCTACTCTTTTCGCCTAGTATTGCTATACATTACCTGTAAATGCCTCGGTCAATGCTCCTCTGCAACACACAGGACACCGCACGCACGGCGCACGACGCTACACCATTTACCTTATATTTATATACATAATGCCTATGATTCGCCGTATTCCAGTAGGCCATTTGTTGAGTGAGGGTGATGATTATCTCTTACACCGGCAGCATACTCTTCATAAAATAGCAACCGAGGGCCAAGTGTGAAGAACTGCACCAAGCCGGCTTTAGAATTACAGTGTCTGACATGATGACTAAGCTGTGCCATTTATCTCATCCGTGACTCATGCACGGATAGAAGAGGATGGATAATCAGGACTGGGAGTGCATAGACACTGCTCCGGATAACGTAGATGGGGACTCTCCTGCTTACCATGATAGATTAGGTCGTAGACTGCATTACACCACTTAACCCAAACCGGAGAACAGTCGATCGTAGCATCCAGGCTTTTGTGGTTCTGAAGTCCTGTGAGAGTATGAAAATTGACTCGGCTAGAATGTTAGGTAGTCAATCACGAGACTTCCTAATGAGTACGATCGGGACAAGCTTGTGGCCTCGCTCCATTCTCGTAGCCGG